GGGGGGTATTTTTGTGTGTGCCTATCTTTCTTTCTCAGTTTCGAAGACGTGGGTTACAAGTCCGATAACCAGGATATAATTTGTTGTAGTCCCTTTGGCGAGGTTCTAGCCCTTGAATTTGGTCGAACTCTCCATGTTTGTAAGAGGAGAACTCATGACTAATGTAAAATCACTCCAAATATTCATCTTATTAATTAAAAAACAGAAATGACTTCAGCTGACATTTGAATGAATCAAAAGATTTGATCTCTGTTAAAGTACTTGGCAAAGCATTCCAGATCTTGGGGCCTTGATATTCAAATGCCCCGTCACCCATTGTTTTAAGTTTCATAGATGGTAAAAGAAAATTCTTTTTGTCAGCTGAATACCTTAAACTGGCGAGTTGGAATGCATAGTATTAACAGCCTCATTTGCAAGTATTTTAGCCCCAAATGATACAATTCATGTTGCATAGGAGGCGGGTTGCTGCCGCTTCGATCTTGCCTGTTAGGGCCACCCCGGGCTGAAGGACAGAGGTACTTGACTAAATAAGGACTTGCTCACGAGGAGATCGAACTCGCTTATTTGTCACGACGTATTGGAATCAGGCGCTCGTCAATTTTGGGGTACAAACAGTGCTATTGGTATCATCTGAAAGGTTGTTTATTTGTCTTGCTTTTGATGAAAAAAATACCCCTCTGTCTTGAAAAGAATTCGGGATATTTACGACTAAATGAGAAAGGGGGAAGCCTGGTTTCAGAGGTCAAATCAGCCGACAAACTTTGGTGACCTCTAAAGCTTGAGAGTCTTTGGGGATAGCAAACTTAGATTGTGTATGCCTCTAACTAGTCATTTTCAGTAAAATTCACACAGAAATGTGTTTTTTAATGGGCGTTGAGTAGGTCTAAAGATATCACAAAGTTATACATAAAGGATCAACCTTGGCTCCTGGGTAATGTCTCGATCCCCAGAGCCGGTCTAAGTTATCCTTCTCTGCAGCGCCCTCTGTTTCTCTATCTATCTATCTGTCTATCTATTTATTTATCAATTTATCTATCCATCTATCTGTCTATCTATAATATATCTATCTATCTATCTATCTCACCTGACGACAGGGTACTCAAAGATCCACTAAACAAAGTGGCCATGAAGAAGCCAGCCATACCCGGCGCGTCCTTCAAAGCGTGTATGGCAAAGTAGGGCACCATCTGGTTCCGGTTGGTGATGAAACCTCCCTGTCAACGAGAAAGACAAGGACTATGGTAGCTTTTTGTTTGCTTGTTTGTTTGTTTGTTTGTTTTGGTCTCATGTCCTATTTGCATGGGTGTCGGATGTTAGTTACGGATACGATATAAGATTGTTAGGCATTGTTATGGTGGATAAATTACTTGAAAGTTGTTGTTGCTGCTGCTGTGTAGTAGCCTATTTCTAAGAAACATTGGTAGTATAATATATGTTCAGAAAGAAGAAGAAGAAGAAGAAGAAGAAGAAGAAGAAGAAGAAGAAGAAGAAGAA